GCAAATAATTCAAGAAGCTGGAATGTATAAAGAAGCATGTGGCATGATGATTAGAGGAAGACTCATGATCCACCTTTGTTTGCTGAATACTTGTCCAGTCGGTTCCAACCCATAGCGAGCCTGTGTAGGGTTTTCTAGGAGTGGCTGGTGAATTTGAACTGCTGACCTTGCAGTTCAAACCGACTTTGCTGTCCAGCACATTATTCCACAGTGTTACACCAGGACTCCTGCTGAATGCTATGAGGACTTAAAATTCTTCCTGAGGTAGATCAGAGACCTCAGTGCTCCCCAGCCCTCTGTCAGCGTATCCCGGGAAATGTTCACGAGCATACTGAGGTCTCTCTGAGTGGACCAGAGCTGCTGTGCAGCGGTCCTGCCCTCCCTTTGCTTAGACAACCCTAAGCCAGAATGAAGGGGCCTGAGAGTGAGAAGCTGAGGATATTGGGTGCGGCCTGTTGGGCCGGCCTGTTGGGCAAGCGGGTACAAGCAGAGGTCAGAACGCCCTCTCCTGTGGATCAGGGGTGTCAGCATCACAGAAGCTATTATACAATTAGTCAAGAATTATTACAGAGTTGACGTCCTCTAGATGGTTCATCCTCCTGCTGCTCTCCTAGTAACAGGTCCACCTGCAGCATGTGATATCGCTGGCATTGACAGAAAGCTTCTGAGCCTATAAGAATTTATCAGCTCAAAAGAGGTTTATTAGCCACTATTCTAGGGGGTGAGTGGGAGGGAAGAAAAGAGAATGATTTAAATATTCAGAAAAAGAAGGAAATAGTTCATGGGATTTTAGAGAACTATATATAATTTTTTAATGTACAAAATTATTTATTGTGGTAAATAAGTATGTAACGTAACATTCCCCATCTCAACATTTTTTTGCATGTATAACTCAGAAACATCAATTGCATTCATTATTATGTTCAACCATCACTGCACAATTTGTATTTAAGGGTTTGGACGTGTCCCTGTAATCTAATTCTAATCCATTCTTTTCAAAACTAGTAGTACTGTTTATCACACTAAATAGATTAGATGTGTATGCCCGTGGAAAAGATGTCCTAACTTCAAAGCAAATATAGAACTTTTTACTAATCATAAAATAGGAAATAAGATTTCTTTTCTTTAGGTAGATGAAATGTAAGTGTGCCAAATACCATCTTCCATGGTGTATGTTTTAATGAAGTCATTTGATTCTGTCAGCCAGGTGGGGAATAGATTGTCGGAAGAAAAGTATAAGCCTGAAGCAGGCAAAGAAGCGTACTAAAGTCCAGTGGAAATGCATGTATTGTATATAACAGCACAGCATTAGCCATGTGCCTGCACCCTAACAGGGCATCGATATTGTTCCTCTTTTATCATCAACACTGTGCTCAGGATGGCCACTCAGTCTTGAGTGTGGTAGCAAACCAAAGTGCTACATGGTGACTGGGACCTGTTGCCCTCATAACAAGAATGATAGAGTCTCCGTGCTGCTGGATCCTGGATACTTTAATCATATTCACTAGTACTAATCCCTCAGGCTATTACATATTACACACACATATATGTATGTATATAATGTGTGTGTGTGTGTGTGTGTGTGACAGAAAACATTTTTGAGGAAAAAAAGGTATTGGAACTAGTGGGAATCATTATTTTGACACCTTCAGCAGATTGACAGAAAGATTGAGGAAAGCAAAAATACAGGAAAAACTTGAGAAGAATTCAGGGAAACATTACAAGAACAAACACAAGATAAATGCACATTTTGAAACAATACAAAACCTGCAATAAGAAATGCAGAAGATTAATAATAGCGTTTCAGAAATGTACTATACATCAAAAGGGCAAAGGAGACGATTCGAAGCAATTCAAATCCAAATCAGTGAACTTGAAGATAAATCTCTCAATAACTAGTGTGCTAGAAGAACAATCCAAAAAAAAAGAATGAAAAAACTCCAAAGAAAGCCTAAGAGTTGTGTGGGACACCATAAAGAGGAACAATTATGGGTGATTAGAATTCTAGAACAGGAAGAGACAATAAAAAGGACATAGAAAATTGTCAGAGGGTTCTTGAAAGAAAACTTCTCTAACATCGTGAAAGACAAGTCGATGATACACAAACCCCAGCCAGGATAGATTCCCTTCCAAAGTCACCAAGACGTATATTATAACCACAATTTCCCAACCAGACAAGGCAAGAATCCTGAGAGCAGCTCAGGAAAAACAAAAGGTTACCTACAAAGGAGAACCAATAAGACTAAACTGTGATTTGTCAGCAAAAAGGAAGTGAAGTGGATTTCATGATAAAACAGACTGTTTCATGCAGGGAAAACAATAAATTATAGGGTAACCGCAAAGAAAAATAATAATGCCTGCACATCAAAATAAGGAAAGAGGAAAATCAGGAAACTGTAGTAAATATTAACATACCAGACATGGAAATTAAAAGAAAACCTCACAAACAAAATGAACTTAGTGCAGAAAATCATGTGGAACAAAGAAACCAGGAGCACCACACACAGAGAGAAAAAGACAGCAATCAATTCATACCTATTGATAATTGCACTGAATGTAAATGGATTAAATGCACCAGTCAAGAGACAGAGCAGAGGGATAAGAAAGCCGGATCCTTCAATATGCTGTCTACAAGAGACATATTAAATAGATGGATCCACCCTAAATGCCCATCAACAGAAAGATGGTTAAACAAACTTTGGTATATACACACGATGGAATAGTACAATACGTTGAATAATGATAAGTCTGTGAAACACCTCGCAACATGGTTGAACCTAGAGGACGTATGCTGAGTGAAATTAGTCAATCACAAATAGATTGACTAATTTTGTATTGTATGAGACCACTGTTGTAAAATGTTTAAAAAAACAACAACAAAAAAACAGGCTTTCTTGATAAAAAGTCTGTGATGGTTATGGGGTAGGCAGGTGGGCGAAGGGAAAATTATTCAGTCTAGAGGGTGGACACATGTTAACATGGGTGACAGGGCAGGCACTATACAACAAGAGGGAGGTCAGCAGATGAAAGCTGAAGGTAGCAGGAGACAAAGGGGAAAATGTAATTGTTGAAATGAATAGAGGTATATATACTGTTAACTGGGTACACGGGATTGTAACCATGTAATGAAGGAAAGTATAACATTGTAAAACTAATGATCAGCTTTGTAAACCTTCATTCAATTCACAATAAAAAGTTGAAAAAATAATAAGTAGAACTATTAAATCTAAATGATTTTCCTTACTTTTGAATACAGTCCAATCAGCTGACTTCTTCCTGTTTAAAATAATAATAAGAATAAAGCCAAGAAAATCCTACAGAGCTTAATTCTAAGTTTACCACATAGGATCACCGGTGTGTTGGAGTCAACTCAGTGGCAATGTGCTTGTTTTCGTTTGAGATCAGTATCATGCTCTATCTGAAAAGCTATTTCATAGAGAGGCACCAGTCTTCTGACATACATATCCAAAGTGCAATAGGGGAAAAAAAAACAAGCTCAACACAGAACAACTCCTGTTTGGCGGAGGAGAAACTAGCTGTGATGCAAGGGCATGCTTGAGCGTTGGCGTGGGAAGGGGCCCCAAAGCAGGACCACACCCTGCTCTGCAGGAATGGTGTCGATGCCCTGCCCTAACAACCAACCTGTCTGCCAGCAGGATTGACCATATCCCTTACACACACACACACCCCCACACACATCCTCCAGAAGTTGTACAACTTTTACAGCCTGGTTCTTATCTGTACAAATTTGCAGCCTGGATTGAATCATTATGCGTATCATTGACTATAAGCTGACATCAGCTTGGCCCCAGATTCAGCAACCCTGTACACAGTGGAATGAAACTGTCTAGTCCTCTGTCATCCCTATCATTGATTGTGAACCTTACGGTGTTCATTGGCTGAGTTTTCAAAAGTAGATTCCCGTCTAGCTTATTTTAGTCAGGAAGCCCCACTGCAATCTGTTCAGCTGCATAGGCACACCTCTGTCATAGGTAATTACAAATTCCTTTAATTCACTGACAGACAGGTGGCTGTGTGTAAGGTGCATTTTGCTGGAACTTGAACCCAAGTCTCCCTAATGGAAGATGAGGATTTTACCACTGCCTACAGTATGGTTTCCTTAAGTTCCCAAGCTTCTATTCAAGTTCCTGGGCTAATAACCACTACCAGAGAATAGATTGATAGCTATTGTTGTTGTAAGTATCACCAAGTTGGTTCTGACTCATAGCAACCCTTTATAAGGTTTACAAGAAACAACTGGTGGGTTTGAACTGCTGACCAGTGCCTATCTTACAGCACTACATAGAGAGACATACTTTTTTAATGCATTTGCTGCATTATTACTTTCTATGAGAAATTATAACCAAAGTCTACACAATTGCAAGAGACTAGTCATTATTCCAATGGATAGATTTGTTGTTAAGTGCCATTGAGTCGGTTCCGACCCATAGTGACCCTGTATAGGGTTTCCAAGGATTGGCTGGTGAGCTTGAACTGCCTACCTTGAAGTTCAAACGGCTTTGCAGTTTGGCGCATTAACCCACAGCGCCACACCAGGACTCCAATGGATAGATGGGAGGGGAAAAAAGAATTGCTTATATGAGGTATCTTCAGAAAGTTTGTGCAAAAATTCTGTTATCTTTTAATTCCAATTTCCACAAACTTTTTGAAGCCCCCTTACATATAATATTTTATATCTTCTAGCCCCTCTGCTCCCTCCTACACTCAACAGTTTTCTATGAGATACATTCATTGTCCTCTCTTTTTTATTATCTTCAGTTCTTCAGTTTTGAGATCCTAAAACTTTTTTCTCCTATTTTGTTTGCTGTTAGTTAACTGATAGTTAAGCTTTTGTGTAGCTGGTATTATAGTATGTGCTATTGAGGCCCCAGGACAAATTTCAAGACTCCCTGAAACATGTCTACTCTGTTAATAGTATATATTTTAATGATAGAAGAATAGATGATTTTAATAAGATGTTTGGCTTTCTTTTTTTCTAGACCAAAACCAGTGTCCTTGAGAAAGATGTGGATATACAAGAATTTAACTTAGAAAAGGTATGTGCTTTGAAATTGTTAAATTGTTCATTTTCATGATGCCAAGAGAATTTAATATGTTCAGATATCTGATAATTGGGGAAATGTTTACATTAATTTCATGGCATTCATTTTATTCAACATTGTACAACTGTGTGAAAGACAGTAGTTTACAAGACTGTGACTTCATTGCCAACACTACAGTGGTACGTTGACAAAAAAGCAGAATTATGTATATTTTGTGGTTGTAGCTAGGCTTTTAATATTACATGAGAAAACAGACTAGAAGAAAGTAATTCAACTTCTAAAAGTGGATATTGGTGAATTTTCCTTAAAACAACAGGTGTGTGTTTGAAGCTGCTGTAAGAAATGTTTTTTCCAAAGTGTGAGAAGACCTACTTGGAAGGGTATTTTTCAATAGAAATGAATGCCTTTATGGGTAATTTGGTGCTGTTCCTACCCATAGCGACCCTGTATAGGGTTTTCAAGACGGCTGGTGAGCTTTAACTGCCAATGTTACAGTTCAGAAGACCTTGCAGTCCAGTGCATTAACCCACCATGCCACACCAGGACTCCATAAATATTTCAGGAGCAGAAAACCTCATCTTTCTCCCTCATAGCAACTGATAGAGTTGAACTGCTGACCTTGATGAGCAGTTGAGCTCATAAACCACTATGCTACCAGGGCTACTTTTATGGGTAATAGCTTGTTGTATATTGTTGTTAAGTGTCATTGAGTCGGTTCTAACTCAGCAACCCTGTATAGGGTTTCCAAGGAGCAGCTGGTGGGTTTGAACCATCAAACCTTGTAGTTCAAACTGACCTTGTGGTCCAGAGCTTCACCTACAGTGCCACACCAGGACTCTGCCTTGTTGTATTGAGCTCTCTGAGGTCCTGCAAATCTCTGTGTTTTACCGCTAGGTCTGTCACTGATTTGTACAAAGGTAACTCTTTACTTCAGGTTTCCACATTAAATCTGAGATGGTGGAGAATCTTATTAAGGCCCCATAACAGGATTGCAGTCACTGCAGATGATGAGAATCTGTAAAAATATTGAATGCAGCCTCAAAACCCAAACCTTCTGTCTTTGTGTCTTTTCTGACTCATAACCACCCTATATAGGATCTCTTGAGGCTGTAAATCCTTATGGGAGCAGAAAGCCTTGTCTTTCTCCCTTGGAGAGACTGCTGGGTTTGAACTGCCAGTTTTGTGGTTAGCAGTCCAGTGCTTATCCTACAGTGCCCCCCGGGTTCCTTTTGTTAAGTGTACAGCTCCTGTCTAAAACGCTGTGTAACTGGAGATGGTTCTTCTGTGGGATTGTTGGAATGTACTTGATCTACTTCTCTTTGCTGTCCGCAGGCTCGTTTGGAAGTGCACCGGTTTGGAATCACCGGTTATGGAAAAGGAAAGGAAAGGATTCTGGAACAGGAACGTGCCATTATGCTGGGTGCTAAGGTGAGGGGCTGTTGCTTCCTTCCGTCACCAGACCGGAGTATTTTTAAGGGCAAGCCATGGATGGACCAGTCTGGATAAGGGATACTTAGAAATTTCTGCACAGTAAAAACTGATGATCTATGCCATTTTTCTTTCTCTTCAGCCTCCCAAGAAGAGTTACGTTAATTACAAGATTTTGCAGGAACAAATCAAAGAAAAAAAGGCAGCAAAGGAAGAAGAAAAAAGAATGGTAAGTATAATTTTAAAAATTATTATTATTATGTGAAACTGGAATAGGAAGATGAATACGATGTACCACTATCTACCCATCTAATACTGCAGGAAATCCCAGGAACATAGAGATTGTGGCTGTTATTGTTAGGGACCGTTGAGTCCGTTTTGACTCACACAACCCTGTGCACAGCAGAACAAAACACACCCGGTCATGTGCCACCCTCACAGCCTGTGGTTGTTGCCACTGTATCACTCCGTCTTGTTATGGGGTGGTCTTCCTCCTTTTCATGGACCCTCCACTTTACAAGCTTGAAGTCCTTCTTCAGGGACTCGTCCTTCCTGACAACTTTTCCAGAGAATGAAAGATCACCATCCTGGCATCTAGGGAGTATTCTGGCTATACTTCTTCCAACGTAAATTTGTTTTTCTGGCAGTCCATGGTACTTTCCGTGTTCATTGTGACTTCAGTGCTTCAATTCTTCCCCGGTTTTCCTTACTCACTTTCCACTTCCCATATGTACATGAGGTAATTAGAAATACCATGTCTTTGATCAGGCACACCTTAATCCTCAGAGTGATAACGTGTACTTCAGCACTTGAAAGAAATCTTGTGCAGCAAATTTGCCTAATGTGGTCGGACGCTTGTATCCCCTTGTTCTGTTTGAACAACTGCCTCTTGGTCTATGTACAGGTACCTTATGAGCACAACTAAGTGTTCTGGAATACCTGTTTTCAGTTTTATCCATAATTTGTTATGATCCATACAGTTGAGAGCCTTTGCATAGTCAATAAAGCACCGGTAAACATCTTTCTGGTATTCTCTGCTTTTAGCCAAGATCCATCTGACATTAGTAATGATATCCCTAGCTCTATATCCTCTTCTGAATCCAGCTCGAATTTCTGGCAGCTCCCTATAGATGTACTGCTGGAGCCATTTTTAAATTGTCTTCTGCAAAATTTTGCTCACATGTGATATTAGTGGTATTTTTCAGTGATTTCTTCATTCTGTTGGGTTACCTTGTTTTGGAATGGGCAGAAATGTGGAACTTTTCCAATTGGTTGGCCAGGTAATGGACTTCCAAATTTCTTGACAAAGATGAGTGATCGCCTCCAGCGCTGCATCTGTTTGTTGAAGTATTTCCATTTGAATTCTGTCAATTCCTGGAACCTTGCTTTTCACCAAGTGCAGTGTGGACTTATGCAGGAGGATCAGTTCTTGATCAGAGGACACATCTTGAAGTAGCTGAGCAGCAACCAGGTCCTTTGGGTTCACTGTCTCTGATCCCTTCCGTGTTCTTTTAAGGCTTCTTGCATTATTTGATATTTTGCCCATGTTGTTTTGTTAAGTGCTGTCAAGTCGGTTCCAACTCATAGCAACCTTTTCTAGAGTTTCCGAGGTAGTGGCTGGTGGGTTTGAACCGCTACCTTTCATTTCAAATTGACCTTGCAGATTAGTGCTTATCCCAGAGCGCCACACCAGGGCTCCTATTTTGCGCATAGATTCCTTCAATATTTCAAATTGAGGATTGAATGCTTTCTTCAGTTTTCTTCCGCTTGAGAAGTACTGCGTGTGTTCTTTGGTTTTCTAATTCCAGGTCTTTGCACATTTCATTATAATACTTTGTTTTCCTGAGCTCTCCTTTGAAATTTTCTGTTCAGCTCTTTGACCTCTTCATTACTCCCAGTTGCTTTAGCTTCTCTATGCTCAAGAACAAGTTTCAGAGTCTCTTCTGGCATCCATTCTGGTCTTTTCTTTCTTTTCTGTCTTTCGAGTGACCTTATAAGAACATCATCCCACAACTCTTCTGGTCTTCGGTCATTAGTGTCTAATGCATCAAATTTGTTCTTGAGATGGTCTCTCAATTCAAGTGGGATATAATCGAAGTTGCATTTTAGCTTTTGTGGACTTGTTTTAATTTTCTTTCTTTCTTTTTTAATGTTTTATTGTGAAATATGTGATAGTTTACATGGGAGAACATTAGCTTTACATTCATCCTATCGTATATTGTTTCATTGCCATGGTTACAATCCCCTCCATGCATCATCAACCAACCGAAGGGTATAAACCCCAAGCCTGCCCCCCGGTCATGAGCACACAGCCCCTCTCCCTCCCTGGGTCTAAAGTCCCCAGCTGCTCCATTTTTCCATGTCATCTTCTCTGCCTCCGCTCTCTGCTCTTCTCCCTTGATGGTCCCAGGGATCTCCGTTCCTAGACTACAAAGTCAGTCACTCCCCTCCTTTTGCTACAAAACATCTACCTTTACATTACCAACCCTCACAGTCAGTCCTGATGACAATTATTCACTATTATATCACAAGAGACCTATTCCCATCTCCTTTTATCAGTCCTGCTCAGATTGGATACTACTCAATGGAGATTCTACCTTCCTCCGTGCCCTCTGGATCTAGGCTCCCTCTTGAAAGCTTGTAAGCCAGTCACTTCTTGCCTTTGTATGTTTTAATTTTCTTGAGCTTCAGTCTGATCGACCCTATCCTTATTTTGGCTGATGATTCTGAGTTCTGTATTGTTTCTCCCCACAGAAGTAATTCGTTTGATTCCTTTGTATTCCATCTGGTGAAGTCCATGTATTTAGGCACCTTTTATGTTGTTTAAGAAAGGTATTGCAGAGCCTAAATCATTTGATCTGACTCATTTTGAGCATGCTATTTCTCTCATCAACGTGTGTTTTCTAACTACTGATTTTTTCTCTTTGTTTCTGACTTTTGCAATCCAATCACCAATAATTATGAATGCTTCTTGCCTGCATGTTTGATCCATTTCAGTCCGAGGCAGTTGGTAGAATTCTTCAGTTTCATCATCACTGGCTTTAGTGGTTGGTGCGTAAATATGAATGGGAGTGGTATTAACTGAACTTCTTTGTAGGCTTGTGGCCATCATCCTATCACAGACAGCATTGTACTTCAAGACAGATTGTGAAGTGTTCTTTTTGATGAAGAATGCGATGCCACTCTTTAATTGGTCATTCCCAGCATAGCAAACCATGTGATTGTCAGATTTGAAATGGTAAATGCTGGTCTCTTTCAGCTCACTAATGTCTAGGATATCAAACTTTATGTGTTCTGTTTTAGTTTTGGTAACTTCCCATTTTTTTATATTCATACTTCATGCATTCCATGTTCTGATTATTAGTGGATACTGTTTCTTTTTGTTTTGAGGTTTGCCCCATCAGCAAATGAAGGTTCCGAAAGCTTTCCCCCAATTCATGTTATTATGGTCAACTCTGCTTCAAGGAGGCAGCTCTTCCCCAGTTGCATTCTGAGTTCCTTCCAACCTGAGGGGCACTGCTGTAGTTTATAAGGTTTTCAGGGGCTTTCCATCCAGAAGCAGTCCTCCTCCCCTTCTTCCTAGGCTGCTTTAGTCTGGAGGCTCCATTGAAACCTGTTCACCATAGGTAACCCTGTTTGTATTTTAAAGGCTGATAACATACCTTCCAGTATCACAGCAACACACATGCCACCAAAGGACAACAAACTGACCACCGAGTGGTGAGGAATGCTGAGGTCTAGTCATGAGATTCTTTCTTACCACTTCTTTGAATCAGCTACACTTTGGTAATCTGACACTTAAATGGAAGACTTGCTTTGAAATTCCAAACCCCTTTCCGCTAGTAATACAAGCTGCTTGGACCTTTTTCCTATCTTCAGTCATCTTTTACGTTTGACGTTGAATAGAACATGAGTACCTGCAGAAACCCACAAGAGGAATCGATGTTGTGCTCTCCTTCTTTGAGTGAACATGTGAGGCTGGACATTTCTGCTGTCACTGTTATCTGAAATGGCCAGATAAGGTTTTTTTTGTGTTTAATATGCCCACTGGAAAACAATCTTAAACATAAACAGTGTAATAACCGTGACTTTTAGTAACAAATGTCATGCCTTTTTTTGAACCTGCTACCCTTTACTAAACCAACTCCACGGCACGTATCAACAACAAACCCTTTACTGATACATATTATTATCTTAAATTCTGAAACCAGGCCCAGGACACAGATATTTTCAAGAAGAAGAAGAGAAAGGGGCAGGCAGACAGGTGAGTCTGTCCTCTCCAACCAGACAGGAAAGCCGGATGGTGTGGGTGGGCCTGTTCATGGATTCTGGGAAGAATGCTCCAAATCAGGCCCTTTAATAGAAACACAGGATTAATCATTGCCCAAGATCAAAACATCTGCCCTAGAATAGCATTAGGAACCAACCCTTTGGTCTCTCTACCACTAGTGGAAAAGCTGAGATTGACGTTTTCAAACAGAAGTCTCTCTTCCTTGCAAGGAGACCCAGCAGATTGAATGGCCCAGTCTTGGGCTGTATTGCCTATTCTTCGATGTTCCGTGTAGAACACCATAATTCTGAGTAATGGGACAGATTTTGTTGCTTTATATTTGTTTGTTAGCTTTTCATCAATTGCCCTTTTCCTGTCTCCTTGAATGAATACTTCAAAATTGACTTCCTTTATATCATAATTTTTTTTTCTTACCCTCTTAGTGAGCTTATACATGTCTTAAGGTGATCAATTGCTCTGGCCACATAGATCTACTTAGTGGGCGCCTACTGTGTGCCAGGTACTGTGTTAGGATACAGCCGCGATCAGATGGATGGTATCCGTACCCTTATGGAACTTTTAGTGAAGGGAAGCAGAGCAGAGCTTGCAAACAAATAGGATTCAGTCAGATACTAACAAGAACTTGAAACAGAGCATTGTGAATACAGATAAATGAAGGCGACCTGGGAAGTGAAGAGGAGAGGCAGCCTGGGAGGGTCTGGTGGGACACTCCACGCAGAATAATCAGGTCCCAGGTCCTGCGGATGGAGGGCTCTTGGTGTGTGTGAGGGACTGCCGAGCCCAGTGGGGCTGCATGTGGAGAGGGCAGAGGGAGTGGACTGCTGGGGGCTTCATTGATGGTGCTGTTTCTTCTGCATTAGCCTGATGATGTTACCTTTCTCCCACTTTCAATGTAGGAAATCCCAAAAGAAGAAATCAGCACCCAGTATTTTGTCAAGTGGACGGGGTGGACAGGTTGGAAAATTCAAAAATGGCACATTAATTCTGAGTCCAGTTGATATAAAGAAAATCAGTTCTTCCAGAGTGGCTAAATGAAGAACTTTACAGAAGAATGGACACAAGCCATCATGTAGAAACTGGGCCACTGTACAACCTGAAGATGGTGCTTAATTATTTCATGCTTTACAAACTCTTCTTAATGTTGGAAACAGAATCAGAGATAGCACAGTTCTAGTCATAGAAATGTCCATTTTATGGTGCCAGACATGTTCTGTCAACTACAGTATGAATGTAAGCAAGCCTACTGAAAACAGTTTTTAATATGCCCAGCAAGGTTCACTAGTGGTTTTGCACATTTCCTTATTGTACTGTTTTTCATAATTTTACTGGTTTATAAATGTTTATAATTAAGTTGCCTTTTAATTTTTTAAATGACTTAATGTTATCATAAAAGAACGAACAACATGGCAGGTTTTCAATTGCTGTATAGAACAATCTATTTTAATTTTCAGTCTAATAAGTACGTAAATTCTATTTCATAGTTATTTAAATAAAATGTAACTTTTGTAACATACATGACTATTATGTAACTCAACTGATGATTTTAGCTCATTTCAAAGAACTTAACATTCAAGTGAACGTTGTCTCCTTTAAAGCAGGTACCTTGGGAAGCTCTGTGTAGATTTTTAATGGTATTGCCTTGTGCAAAACAGCTGCGTGATGTTTATTGCTTGTTAAGTGCTGTCAGGTTGATTCAGATTCATTGTGACCCTGTATAGGGTTTCCAGAGGAGCTCTGGTAGCGTAGTGGTTACGAATCGGGCTGCGAACTGCAAGGCCAGCAGTTCGAAACTACCAGCTGTTCTGCGGGAGAAAGATGAGGCGTTCTGCTCCTGTAAAGATTTACAGCCTCGGAAACCCTGTTACAGGGTCGCTATGAGTCGGAACCGACTCCATAGCACTTAACAACAACAACAACAACAACATAGGGTTTCCAGAGAGCAACTGGTGGGCTTAAACCACTGACTTTACACTTTAGCAGTCCAGTGCTTACCCTTCAGTGCCATATCAGGACTTCATTCCAAAGCTTATGGCACATTTTTTTAAAAAGTCTTAAATAACATAATCAATTTTATCTTTTTTGGTCAAAAAATTCAAACCCAGATTTGGGGTAAATAAATCCAAAGGCTATGACGATTTTCTTATGTGACATGTAAATGGGTTCTGAGGTTATTACCAGAGGAGGAACTCAGAAATCTTTTGAAGACTGAGAGCAAAACTGGGATGAGTGATTTTCTTTTCTGGTTTACTGTGAAAGGCAGCATTCATTAGGACATACATTTTGGTAATTTTCAGAAATAACTTAAACAAAACAAAACACAACCTGTTGTTGCTAAGTGCCATCGAGGTGGTTCCGACCCATAGCGACCCTGTATATGGTTTCCGAGGAGCAGCTGGTGAGCTTGAATCTCTGACCTTGCAGTTCAAACAGCTTTGCAGTCTGACGCATCAGCCCACAGCATTGCATCAGGACTACAAACACTACCTAGAGATGGGGGTGGGGGGGTCTCAGGAGCTGCAAATGACCTATTTGATGGGGGGGGAAGCTGCAAATGACCTATTTGATGAGGGGAACTCTTGGTTTTGAAAACTTCACTCATATGCTGAATTTTGTTGCTGCAGCTACTGTTCACACTGCGACCACAACACCGTGTCTGGTCAGAGAGAGACAGTTGGTAGGTTTGTGGGGCACCCGCGAGGGAGGGCAGTGAAATGTGCTGTGGGAGGCTGGGGGGGCAGGTGGTCAGGAGAGGGAAACAAGTGTCAGCTGTGGAGCAGCAGCGAATGCAGAGAGGGAGAGAGGGGAGTGAGGCCGCGCAAACAGGGAACAGCCCACACAGGTCAATATGGAACAAGAAAACAGGCAAACCAGTTAGCATCCAGTTGATTCTGACTCATGTGACCCCCTGTGTGCTATTTAGGATTTTCAGTGAGATCCCCAAGCCTTTCTTCAGAGGTACTTCTTGATGACCTTTCAGCTAGTAGCCAAGTCCTTGACTCTGCACCACTCAGAGACTCCTTCAGAATGGAGGGAGGGAGCATAAGAGGGAAAGGGAAGTGAAGTCTAGAGGTTTGGGAAGTCTCTTTAAAGAGTGTGTATGTGTGTTGTGGGCATTGGAGAGAGGGACCAATGAAGGGTATAAATCATAGAGTGATATGATTCCATTCATGTTAGAAAGATACTGAAAATGTCATGGAAGAAGGGGGATTGGATAGAGCCAGCGTACTTAATGTGGAATCTTAGGGTGTCATGCCATCTGCAACAAAGAATTACTTCTTTCAAAAAACAGTGCCTCACAGGGCATTTTTAGCGAGTGGCAGTGTTCTGTAGGATAACCATAATGGGGGACATACATTTGTCAAAATCCATAGGACTATGGAACACCAAGAGTGAGCCCTAATGTAAGTTATGGACTTCAGTTAATAATGCATCAATATTGATTCATCGATTGTGATAAGTTACCAAATACATGTAAAATATTAATAGCAGGAAAAATTACGGAGGTGAAGGGCAAATGAGGACTGTACTTTCTGGACAATTTATAAACACCTTTGAAAAGTGGTAGCGCTTCTTATGTGCTGTGGAGTCGGTTCTGTTTCCGACTCTTCATGACCGCGTGTAGGGTTTCTGAGGTTGTAAATCTTTATGGGACCAGAAAGCCTCAGCTTCCTGCTGTGGAACAACTAGTAGTTTTGAACTGCTGACCTTGAGGTTCGCAGCCCGACTCGTAACCACTATGCTACATAGTCTGTTTAAAAGAAAAACCAGCCTGTCTCCCGGCATGTTGCTGGCCTGTGGGCAGACAGCACACCTGACTCCTGACCCTATGGCCTGAACTTCCCATTGTGACTGGACACTCAGCCCCACTGAGTCAGGAGGCTAAGAAGACCCATCAGTGAAGGTGGAAGTGCTGCCTCCAGGGCAAGCTCAAGCAGGCTGCATGAGCACACAGCCAAGCCTCCCATGCCATCCAGCACGACGGTGCCAGCAACCTCTCCCTAAGTCCATACCTATAACCAGCAGATGAAGAAGGCCAAGGCCAGAGCTTTGTTCATAGATGGGTCAGCTTGGTGCTTGGCTTCAAACTGAACATTGCAGCTCTACTGTAGTTGGGCTTCTAACTTCTGCCAGCAACAGAGACCAATACTGAGTCCATGACAAGGCACCATTCCCTGAGAAGACCACCAAGCTGCCTGGTGGCAAATGGGCTATCCTGATTCCTTTGTACCCTGGAAGCGACAAATTTTGACAAGAATTTGTTTTGTAAGTGTGTTAGGATACAGCCACAATCAATTGGATGGGATCCGTGCCCTTATGGAACTTGCATATTAGTGAAGGGAAACACACCAGAACATAGAAACATTTAGAACTCTGTCATAGGTTTCCCTTTTCTGCCCGCCGGGCCTCTGCCAACACCATTATCCTAAGGACTTTAGAGGGCTTTAGATAGTGTGTGGAATCAATCCTACACAACAGCACTGCATCACACCAAGGCACCTGTTTTACAGCCAAGGCAGAGCACCACTGGGACGTGTTCTGGAGCTGGTATAATGGAAAGAAAGGCTTGTTGAATAGTCAATGTAAGATCCATCTCAGAGATGATAGAATTTGCACTCTAAGTTGATTATTACATTTATATGGTGCCATGCCCCAGTAAAAAGAGTACATGATCCATTTGCTGTTACTTCCAGTGATTTACTTGGGAAATTTGTGTTTCCTGTCCTCTCAACTCCTGGTTCCCTCAAGGGGGCAGCTGGAAAGCATTCTATTGAACCATTAGCTGTTGCCTGGGCAACATGAGTCACCATCTTGCAGAGACAGTTGATCTAGAGATGAGGAGAAAGGATTGCTGTTGCTGTGAGGGCAGGGAGGAATCTGCTGGGCACCTAGGTGATCCACTTTGGCATCGTTTGGGATTCCCTTTATTCAGTTCTGATGGTAACTTGAGAAAGGTGTGCTGACCTGAGAATCAGACCCTTAACTTGAGGGTCTGAATCATGCCAACAGGTAAGCTACCTAGATCAGCAGAGGCAAGAAATACCATTAGTGAGAGTGAAGGGAACCTAGAATGAAGAGGAGAGGAGGCAGACGTGATTATCAAGGTCAGCTGCAGTGGCAGGGAATGCACTTTGTCCCACTAACCTGCTTCTTCTAAGTTTCCCTCATTGGAGTTCGAGGAAAGCTTCTCCCCAAATATAGGCGAGGTGTAAGTCTGAATGGCACAAAGGATGAGTGCTGTGATGGACCCTTCAAATGTCCTTTCAGGAACGAAGGACTACTCCCTTAGCTGCTGAGAATTCTAGGATAGGTGGTCCACGATAGTTAGCCCTCTTTAAGGATTGCCGCAGCTGAAGAAAGTCCCTCCTCCAAGGTCATGCCCCCTTCCTGCAGGTGTGACCTGCAGGCAATGCATAATCCATGTCAGGGTATAATCCTCTCACCCCAATTTGGCACAACTTTGAATCCTCATCCCAGCTGAGTTGGCAGAGGCTTTGTGTTGGAACTGTATCCAAGGGTCTGCACAAACCTACTTCTTTCCCTTGACTTCCCTAGGTTTGATATCAAGAGCATTCCCTAACAAACATCCAGTTATCTAACCTCAGAGCTAGAGAACCTGAAAATAATGCCCTACCCATCCGAGCTAGTCCAGGAAGCCAGTAGCTGAGGGGGATCCTAGGCTTTGGGCACTGTCTGAAGACAATAGAGATGACTTCTTGGGGAGCTTATCTTAATCATGTCATAGATTTCTGAAGTCTTACTATCTCTTACAAAAAGTAACTTTATGAACTCCCTACAGTGTGATGTTTATTCTTGTCAGATGACTGAATTGGTACTGACTCCAAGCGAACCTATGCACAACAGAAAGAAACGTTGCCTGGTCCAGCGCCAACCTCACAATCATTGCTACATTTGAGCCCATTGGTGCTGCCACTGTGGCAGTCCATCTTGTGTGTGTGTGGGGTCTTACCCTTTTTCACTGACCCTCCACTTTACCAAGCATGATGTCCTCCAAGGTCCCTCCTTATAATATGTCC